ATTAAATGCAATTAATATGATTATTCCTTATATATTTAAGACTTCAAAGAAAAACAAGAAAGTCCAGTTGCCTCCTGAAAAAGCACCTTTGGGACAACCATGCCCTGGATGACTGAGAATCTCCATTGATGTCAGATCAGTTATTTCTCACTGGAAGAAAAAACTGTTACAAAGTTACAGAGGATCACAGTGAGATTTTCATATTTATCCATGGTAGTAATCAATGGAATTTTCATATTAATTTGGGAAATATCATTATCCATGCTAGTTGCGCTAAAATAAAAGCATTTATCATGATGCCTGTCTTAAGAGTTTCAGAACAACATTGATTTCTCATTCTCAGTAATCGCATGTGGACAGGTTACACATCAAATCCTTCAGTGGAAACTTCTTGAAGAAGCTAATCTCCTGGAGCAAAATACTTGATAGTTACTTTTAGTCATTGTTGAATGAAGCTGAACATCTACAGTACATCATAGATGAGAAATTATAGATAGTTCTGAATAGCTACTTGATGTCTTTATACCAGTGATGGCGAACCTTTTAGAGACCGAGTGCCCAAACTTTAACCCAAAACCCACTTAGGTATCGCTGGGTGCTGGGTGGGTGTGGCTACAGTGGTCATGGCAGATGGGTGGGCGTGGCCAACTCGATGTTCCTCCTGGGGAGGGACACCTGTGGGGGCTGGGCAGGGTTGGGGGAGATTCAGGGGGTCTCTGGTGGGTGGGGCGATGGACAGGAGGCTGGTCCTGCAGGGGGAGGCAAGGCAAGGTGAGGCAGGGCGGGAGTGCCATTGTCGCAGAGCGAGGCAGGGGCCTGGCACCATCGGCCCCCACACACAGAGGCCAGCAAGCGCATGGGTGCTGGGATGCATCCGGCCACGTGAGACCTCGGCAAGTTAGCGGGCGGCTGGTTGAAGGGGACGGTTGCCATCTCCGGGGTATGGCGCAGGTGCCCACAGAGAGGGCTCTGAGTGCCGCCTCTGGCACGCATGCCGTAGGTCCGCCACCACTGCTTTATACTTTCTGATCACTTCCTGGGAATCAAAGTGTAGAAGATATTTTGTCCATTTGGGATTCTGTGCATGTGAAATCTTCATTTCACTGTTCAGCAACCAGTGTCAATTTTAGAGTTAAAGGCATTGCCTATTCATGATCTATACCTATTTCAAATAGGCTATAGCTTAGTATTGGGACATTAACATCTTTATGGGGTGACTTTTTCTTCCTTTTTTTTCAGTAGTAGATTGCCCAGTTTGTTTTACATGCCATCAGAGAACGTAACAGAACAGAACAGAACCTTTAAATGGCCCAATACCTATATATTGAAGGAGGCTTTCCAACAATTCTATTCCAAAATTGTACCCACAACTCATTAAATTCCTACCTGGTTGTATATAACTTTGTTTTTTGAGCCATAATCATAATATGCAAATCGACCTGATTTAGCTGCCTAGAAAATAAAAGAAAACAATGTTTGGATATGTATATAGACCCTTCAACAAAACACAAACCTGCGCTTCCAAAACAATAATTCAGCCCTAACTTTCACATCAAGGACAATTGATGAGAGAAACAGAGATGCTAACATATTGGATTCAATTTCTCTGACAATAGATTTGTTGTACAGTATATTATCTAAGTAATAATATATTTTTGACCTATCTCACCATATACCTCCAGGTCCCCAAGACAAATTTTTATTGCCTCCCAACCTTTCATTAGAACTCTTCCTTATGCTGTAATAAAAGCACTACTTTTTAGGGTCAGGATTAAGGTCTTTTTTATATGTTTTATTAGATTTAAATTGCAATTAGTGAAAGGTTGCACATCTCAGAGAGTTCTTGTTTTGTGCTATGTTTACCTTTAATAATGCAATATGTGAAAGAGTGCTTATGTTTATCAGGGACCAGAACAATGCTGCTGGACTCACTGTGTAAATTGGTCCAGATCAGATGCCTCCTGGAATGTCTCCAAGGAAAATACGGATATCTAGGAGAAACTAAGGACATCCTCAAAATATAGAACATAAAACACAGAATCATAGTGTGGACAGGACATCAGAAGTCTTCTAGTCCTACCCAGTCCTCAAGATTAGGCAGGAAACCTTACACTACCAGGGTCAAACGATTGTCCATTTTATTTTTGAAAACCTCCAATGATGGCGTTCTCACAACTCTGGGAAGTAAGCGTATTGATTAATTGTTCTCACTGTCAGAAAATTTATCCTTACTTCTAGGTTGGAGATTTCTTTAACAAGCTTTCACCTGTTGCTTCTTGTCCTGCCCTCTGGTGCTTTGGAAAATAAATCAACGCCTTCTTCTTTTGACTGCTCTTCAACTACTAGAACATAGCTATGATGTCCCCTCAATCCTTCCCTTTGATAGGCTAGACCAGGGGTGTCAAACTGGCAGCCTGTGGGCCAGATGCATCATGTGCAGGCCACTCCCACCCCGGCTCCACAAAGGCAAAAAATGTCATAATATGTCACAATACATCACGATACGTCATGTGATCGAGTTTGACACTCATGGGCTAGACATATCTAGTTCCCTCAACCGTTCATCATATGATTTAGTCTCTTATCATCTTTGGTTGCTCTTCTTTGCATATTTTATAGGGTTTCAACATCTTTTTTTTGTATTGTGGTGACCACAACAAACGTTTGTGCCAAACTATGTGCAAACTGTATATAGTATTCTAACTGTGGGCTCAGTATAAAGAGGTATTATCACTTCTTGTAATCATGATGCTATCCATCTGTTGATGCAGCTCAGGACTGTTACAACTTTTTTGGCAGCTGTAGCATATTGCTCACTCATACTTAAGTGGTGATCCACTAGGACATCTAGATCTCTCTTTCAGTTACTACTGTACCACAAATTTTGTACCTATGTTTTTTGTTTTCCCGACCCAAGTGCAAGACCTTATTTTTCTCACCAAGGAACTGCATCTTGTTGGAAAGGGCCCAAGATTCTTTCTGAATCTTGAATTTATCTTCCATAGTGTTTTATCTACCTTGGTGCCATCTGCAAATTTCATGGATTCATGCATTCCCATTCTATCCCCTCATCTAGATCATTTATGAAGATGTTGAAGAGTACTGATCCCAAGACAAAATCTCAAGGTACCCCATTGCATGGTTCCCTCCATATAAATGTAGTTTCATTGAGGACTACATGCTGAGTGCAGTTGTTCAGCCAATTGTGAATCCATCTGGTGTTGATACTGTCTATCCCACATTCTTTTTCCTTACATATTGAGGGAAATTTCCTGACTCCCACTTCGCAGATTTGGGCTATTTGCTGGTATTCTGTTTTAGTTATGTGTTCCTCTTTCCATTTTATATATTTGACCTTTTTGTCAGAGTAATAAACAAAAAGAAAAAAGAAGCAAACAAAGAAAAATCATTTACAAAAAGGTAATCACTGAATTCACAGAAGAATTATGGACATCAAAAAAGAGATTCTCCTTCTATTGCTCTTTGTCTTTTTTTATCATTCCAAATCTGAATATCCATTTGCCTTTACTTTGGAAGAGAACAAAACAATGAAAGGATACATGCAAAGTTCTGTCTGGAATGCAGCAGGTCTTTAGGTCAAATTAATCACTCTTCAATTCCCTAATAGCTCTGTGGTTTTACAACTGTGATACATTGATGACCTACTGCAGATTGCAGATAATGATATTTCAGTTGTACTGCTATTCCATCTCGCAGATCATAGACATAAAGTCAGAGGATTGTACAGTTCTGCAAATTTCAAATTTTGTTTCTAAGTAATTTCTTTTCACAGGGTGACCATAATCTATCTCCAGATAGAGTACATGCTGTTCACACCAAGGAAAAAGACCTAGCAGCATTCTTAGGGATGTTGGCTTTTGCAGGCCAAGGATTGTGGACTGAATTCCTATGCTCCATTATTCCAACCATATTTAAGGGCAATGGGTGATGAACAGTTTCAAAACTCTTAAATTTGTCCCTACCTTGTATCCCTTGAATTATACATTGCTTTCTTCATTTTTCTCTACAAGACATGCACGTTCTAGGACCAGATGACTGGTTTCCCCCCCACCCAATTCTACATTGGAAGAAAACAATAAGCCAAATAAGAACAGCCAAAACCAGGAATGCCAGCCCCAAGCTTCTGTTGAGCATTAACTGGACAAGTCCACTTAAATTCCTTTTTATCCCCTCTCTGGACAACTGCTTTCTCCTCTTATCCAGAATGTATAAACTCTTCATATGTAGGGGATTTTTTTAAGTAAGAGTTTCTGGTCACCAAGGACTGGAGGAGGCATAATAATGATGTCATGGGGAATGATCACTTTGGAAGTGATTGTTATATTTTGGGATTTAGTAAATGGTTATGATAAAATTGCTGAAAAAATTCATGACAGCAACTTAATATCTCTATTTTAGTCTGTTTCTGTTTGTATGTGGAAAAGTGTAAAACTGTATATATGTGTGTGTATGTACAGTATATATGTATGTATACACACACACATAAACACATACACACAAAAATGTATTTTCAAGGTGGTGAGCATATTTATTACTCCTGCCTTCTATTTTCCCTCAGAATAACCACTCTATGAGTGACTGTGATGAGAGAGAGTCACTGGCCCAAAGTCACCTAGCCAGCTTTCATGCTTAAAGTGGGAATACAACTTACAATGTACTGGTTTCTAGGCCACCACCTCATACCAAACTGACAAATGGTGATCCTCAACATTCTGGACCCTTACAAACATTTTCACTCGAGGACATGCCACACCAGAACATCTTCATAATCTTAATATTCTAGTTGGTTGGAACTCCTGGTCCACCACATCCTAGTTGTGGATCAAGTTGGTGTTCTTCCAATCAAGCAAAACTCCACCATACTATTATCAAAGGCAGATACGTTGAAATACTTTTTTTTTCACTTGCATTACTATACCTGACTCCAATGGACTATATTTTTCACAGAGGTATAATCTGGGAATTGTGATAGGTACACATCAATCCGACTCTGTAAGAGAATGGTGAATTGTTGAGAAATCGTATCATTCCATAGAGAAATCTTTCATTGAGGCAGTTATAAACAGCAACTTAAATGTTGCTCTTGACTTCTGCAGCCGCATGGCCACATGAGAAGTCAGTGAAAGTGTCCCATTGGACATGCATACATCATAAATGACTGAAGTTATCCTGCTCTGTGCTTTAGCTGAAAGTTCAAATAACCTCTTAAAGGAGCAACCATAAATGACCAGGAATCCAATAAGTGACCACTGCTTCATGTATAGCATGAGGTCATCGTGCAAACAATGCAAATTATGCAATGGTTGTGCAATCATTGGAGCAATGACCTTATGAGATGCATGATGTCACATGCCTTCTTTTACGTCTCCTGCCCATAACGCATCAATTGGCTAGTGCAAATCTGTTTTAGATCCCATGACATATATGGGAATTGCAAGGTCAAATTTTTTCACTAATCTAGGAAGTGCAAAGGATTTTCCTGTACAATAACAATATCTACAAACCTCACGACAAGACTTATAGCTTCTATGAACTGATGCTAAACCAACTTAATCCCCTCCAGGTGTGTTAGGCAACTCTGATGGATTCCAGAAGTTGTATTACTCACACATCTTAGGGCTGCCAGGTAGGAAAAAGAACAATTGAATGTAAGCATTATATTGCATTTATACTTACTGTATTCAGACTTCTCTCCCTGAAACCACCAACAAGAAAAACAGCTTGCTTGCAGATCATGCTTACTGGTTGGTAACTGCACATATGAGCCAGCTGTGCTCTCGGTTTGGGGTTCAGCAAGCAGAATTCTTTTGTGCCAAATATAATCTATACACAGATATAAAGACAGTTCACATTATGAATATTAATTAGATGCATTTCTAAGATCAGTTTGTTGCCTTAATTCAGGGATGCTGAGTACATTCATAAGATCCACGGTGGCGCAGTTGTTAGAATGCAGTACTGCAGGCTAACTCACTGCTCATTCCAGGAGTTCCATTCTGCTCAAGATTGACTCAGACTTTCATCCTTCCAAGTTCAGTAAAATGAGGACCCAGATTGTTGGGGGCAATAGGCTGACTCTGTAAACCACTTAGAGAGGGCTATAAAGCACTATGAAGCAGTATAAAAGTCTGTATTATTTCTATTTTCTGAATTTGTTTCTGCTGATTGTTTCATACTATAGCATTATTTTGACAGTGCTGCTTAAATACATAGTCTCTTTGTTGGTAAGATGGGCAGTTTCCAAATTTGTTAAATAAAAAAAAATAATAAAATAAACTGTACCATGTCTGCAACAGCCTCTGTTTCAATAAAGTTGTTTATATGTAAGTAAACAATCCACTCACCATTTGTGTTATTTGTGTTTTTCTATTCTGAATTTTTTTAATGTCTGGACAGCACACATATTTTGAGGGCGTCAATTGGGCAGGATCAAAGGATAAAGAAGTACAAGACTTTAGAAAGTATCATTAATGTAATCTTTGAGCAAATACAGAATCTTGGAAATCACAAGAAGAATTTTCAATTTTCATTCATAAGGCATTCATTATAGTGAAATCTGTTTGAAGGGTTTTAAATGGTTCTTCCCAACATTAGTCTCTCCAGGGTGTACAAAAGCATGGAGGCCATGACCACAAATTGAAGCCCTTCCCATTTGTAGTCAGTGGTGGGATTCAGCCAGTTCACACCACTTCAGCAGAACTGGTACTAATTTTTTTTGTTGCCCAGGCCCAGAATGGACTTCTGGAAGCGGCATCCACTCAGAGAACCTGTTGTTCACATATTTGAATCTCACCACTGCCCCTAGTGCTCTATTCCCCCAGAATACTAATAACTTTCTCCTGGGGGCAGGGTGAGGGCTTACCTTCAACAATAATTCTGGCAAGCGTACGATTTGCAATAGCACGCTTTTCGTATCCTGAAAAGTATATGAAGGGGCCAAGGCAAAAAACATCTTAACTTTAGCAGCCAGGTGAGGTATTACTGAAAATCCTACAAAGCCTGAAGATAAAGATTTAAGTTAGTATCCTTTAATCTGACTTTTAATGCAATAATTGTAGGAATGCTGATTACATTTTGAATTAAGCTTGATTCATTGGATATGATTTATTTAGCAAATGTCCTTCATTTGTTCCAGAAAGTAGTTTTCATCTTCCAGATCAAGCTTAGATATTTGCTGTTTTTTGCTAAAATTTCAAATTCAGAATAGGTCAGTTAAATGCTGCCACCTAGCTAGATCTTTAAATACTCATTTAAAAATGGAGTAAGTAGAGTCAGAAAGGATGGAATAAATAGAAAGCAATTTCTGTAGAAGTGGTTTTCTCCTGAGCAACAGCTCAGCATATGAATGAGTTTATTTTCAACTGGTTATCTATTGGTAATATATAAATAAAAAGATGCTTTGATGTGGGAATTGGAAAGCCCTCTGTCTTAATGCTCAACCATTGCTTTATAACTGAATTTGCTGAACAAACATTTAGTTATGAGCACCCATTGCAATGGTTGAATAATGGAGTCTAATTCAATTATGCTATCAATGTATGAAGGAACATGAGAGAAAGTGTGCTCAATTTCCACAAGATCAGCAAGTCTCTTGAAACGATCTCTTTGGATTCCAATTTGCTTGCAAAGTATTCTCATTTTTGAAACATTTATCTTATAAGTGTGTTATACAAGAGCCAGTTTGGTCTAGGGGTTAAGGCACCAGGAAAGAAAGTGATCATGAGTTCAAGTCCCACTCTGACCATTAAAGTCAGCTGGGTGACTTTGGGCGAGTCACACTGTCTCAGCCCAACTCACCTCACAAGGCTGTTATTATTGTGGAGAAAATAGGAGGAGGAAGGTGTGTTGGATATGTTCACTGCCTTGAATTATTTGAAAAGTAATAAAGGATATAAATGGATGGATGGATAAATGGATGGAAGGAAGGAAGGAAGGAAAGAAAATCAATGGAGATAGGAAAAAGGGAGGCAGGGATGCAAGGGTAAACATTTTCTCCAACCTTTCTTTATTCTTTATTCTTGGCTTGTAATTGCTGATCCATGAGTGAACTGTTCTACATTGTACAACAGTTGATGAGATTTGTGGATTAATGTTTTGATTCTACAAACAGGGAGAAGGTATTACATCAATAAGACAACCTTCAGTGAGGACTAGGAAGGGGGCTGGATTAAATGATCTCAAGAGATATTTTCTGATCCTTCCATTCTGTGATTCTATTACTTTTGATACCTAGGGTAGACCTTCTTCACATAGCTTGATTTCTGAAAGTAGAGTTTTCAGGCATCATCAGGAATGCTTGAAATGTTGCTTTGGATAATAGCAATTTGTTCTTTATTCTCAACATACCTATAGTACAGCCTTGTGAATGGCAGACAAAATAGAGGTGTTCCTGTCCCCTTTTCTGAAGAATAAAGTTTATTATGGCAGGAAGGTCATATATCCCAATTTCGTGAAAACTGAAACCAAACACATATAATTAAAATTTGCTAAATACGTCATTGTAAATGTAACATCATTCAAATCAACTTTGAATTGCAATATATATACCTAAGGATAGAGGAGGATGAGCTAATGATATCATTTGATGTCATTTCACTCTTCACCTCTATCCCATAAGATCTGGCGGTTGCTGTGATAAGGAGCCGCCTACAAGAGAAGCAAGGACAACACCAGGACTCTCTCCATACTGAGGATCTTGTACAACTCGTAATCTTGTGCCTCAAAACATATTTCACCTTCCAGGGTGTTACATATGAACAAATCAAAGGGACACCGATGGGGTCCCCCATCTCGGGTGTTATTGCGGAGGCAGTCCTGCAGCAATTGGAAGTTGTGGTGATGGTCAAGTACCGTCCCAAATTTTGGGCTCGATACATGGATGATGCGTTTGCAGTCATTAAGAAACAGGATATTGCTAGTTTCATGGATGAGCTGAATTCAGTGTATCCCGACATCCGTTTCACAGCGGAAGAGGAGACCCAAGGCACGCTCGCTTTCCTAGATGTACTGGTCAGCCATCAACCCAATTGTACCCTGCATACGACCGTCTACCATAAGCTGACTCACACCGATAGAACATTACATTACAGGAGTAACCATCTGGCGCATAAGATCAGTTGCGTCAGAACATTGTTCAAGCGTATCAGCTCACACTGCAATACAGGTAGAGCCAGAGTTGAGAAGAGCAGCCGCATTTACCAGATCTGTAGGTGTAACGGCTATCCTGCTGAGTTCGTTAGGCAGCATAGCAGGCCATACGAACCTCGTGACAGTCTACATACCAACATGACAACAACACTGATCACACGAACGACCCTCCCGTATATCAATGGTGTGTCCGAGGCAACAGCACAGCTGCTAGCCCCCTTTAACGTAAACATTGCCCATAGACCAGACCAGACCCTGAGCACTATGATCATGCACCCCAAAGAGCTGCTCTCCAATGATGAAAGATCTTCTGTTATATACAGAATCAAGTGTAAGAATTGCCCATGTAACTACGTTGGGGAAACAACCAAAAGGCTCAAGACCAGGATCCATGAGCATGAGTTGGCGATCAGGAGACAAGAGCAGTGCTCACAGGTATGTTTGATCTTGCCATATGTTTGATCTTGCCAACGCTGAGACAATATCTTGAGATGCCACCAAGGGGGGCCGATTGCTCAAGGAGGCCTGGCTGTCTGACAAGAATTCGATCAACTGACATATAGACCTCTTAACTGCTTACCAGACACTTAGGAGGTGAGAGGGACAGCACCGTAATTCACGACAAATACAACCGCCCCGCTCCTTGCAGGATCGGAATGTGGGGCTGTAGGTGAAACAATCATGACCACCAAGGAGGACTATGAATCTATAGCGTGCCCCAAATTCAATTCTGAGATGGACACTCAGGTTCAGTTAGAAGAGAGGGGGGAGGGCAAAGAGCTAAAGCGGCCAGATGGCCAGCCTCTGCGCGTCTGTACGGGTGCTAGGAGAGCGACTGCAAGCAGGGGAACAGCTTGTGAACCCGCTAATATGCTGATAGATGTGGGACGACTAAGAGCACTACGGCCGATTGAAGCGAATGGACCGGTGACTCGCTCAAAGAGCAGGGCACAGAAGCAGCCGGCCGTATAAGTAAACTTATATGTAATTATATGTAATTAAAATGTCATCTTGCAAAATGAATTCAAATCACTTACATATCAACTGAGCATACCTGAAATTCCAAAATTCTTCTTGATCTATTGAAAAGTGTTGGTGTCTCCTAGACCAGGAAGTTCCTCTGATATTGCCAATCCACACATCATATCCAGCATCTGCTAGTATGAAGCCAAGGCTCTGATGTGGAAGGTTTTGTACCCAAACACTGCCTTCCATAGTCAAACAATGCAGTAAGAGTACAGAAGTTTTGGAACCTTGTGAAGTTTTGGAAATGAAAATACTTATTAATTGCAATATGTAACAATATAGCTACTATATACTGCTGTTCAGTTACTACATTTGAACATGTGATTTGGATTGCTGATGCTTAACTGTGAAGTTCAGAGATGAATGTTTCGTGGAATTATGAAGAATCAAAACAGCTTTTTTCCTCTTTTGCTGGAACTTTGTTCCCAGGTAAGACAGGTAATGTTGGAAGTTCTCCAGGAAAATGAAAAATAATTGCATAGGCATCTATTCCTTTTGTCCAAATTATTATTTAATTGGAATACTTATTAAAGTTAAAGACAAATTCATTCAAGTATTTGAATCAGTTCAATTTGATAATCCAAATCACATCACCTCTTCAAATAGGATTTTACCTGATCTGTACATCATAACTCTTTAAAATTTATTTGTATTTCCTTAAGTTTATGTAGTGTACCTATTCTTACAGTTTGATTTTATGTTCTAAAAGCAAATTGATGACATCTCAAAAGAGAATATATCTTCACTACCCTGGGAGGATTTGCTTTCCAATAGTCATGTATGTCTTTTAGAGTAAGCAAGTGCAATAATATGTTTAAGATGCATCATTTTGTGCAGTGTTTTAGCCTTAAATAGTGGCTTGATTTTATTTCATTTGTGTGCCTTTGTATGTATGCCTGTAGGTATACACAAACACATATAAATACATGCATATAATATACACTGACCCAAATCTTGAAAGATCAACACAAATTGGATTTGGAGGGGAAAAATATCCTTACCAGTTTTATGTCCTGGGATCCTGTTCAGGGTCAAGTAGTAGCCATCCTCTGTAAGGACTTCGTGTTCTTCTGCTGAATATCCCCAGAATTGAATTATCTCACTCTATAAGGAGGTGTTGAAAGAAAAATCTTCATCAGGGTCCAGTCCAAGCCGGGAATAAACAACATGGAGACTTCTTTTAGAAAGAAGGTTGTAGTTTATTGAAGAGGAGAGCCAGACAGAAAGATGGTTCTGGAAAAGACTGACCACATGTAGCAGGGAGTGGGTTTTTATACCTTCTGGGGTTCTTGAGGTTGTTTCCTGTTCCTGTTTGAGGCTTTGTATTTCCTGTATCATGTACTATGACCTGAATCTGAGTGTGCCCTGTAATGTATTGGCCACAACTGTTTTAAATCACTTGCTTAATGTCTGACCTACATTGCTGTATTGTTTAACAGTTGCTGTTACTGAAAGCCAGACTGGCTGTCTCCAAGCTGATAATAAGGTTTGGGGCGGGAAACTGTTACTTTAAACCTATTGGTTGCCACCTAGAGGCTAACTGTATAAATAGCTGTGCAGCAGCCTTTAGGGCTGCTTCTGTTCTGAGTTAATAAACTTGTTTGCTGTTTCAACACTCTGCCTCGTTCAATGCCTAAAGAACCGAAAATATAAGAGTGGCGATGAGGATAGGATGTGCTGCTTCATTGAGAGAGCTTGGTCAATAGGGCGTGAGGTCAGCACAGAGCCTGACAGGAACTATGTTCCCCCCCTCGGTCTGCCAGCAAGCCACACTGGAGACCACCATGCCCTAAGGATCCGTCCTAGGGCCTACACAGAAGCCAGCAGCACAAGGCATTGAACAAAGAAACAAACCACCATGGCGAAGGTTGGGAAGCTCGAAGAATTCACCCAGACAGATGGGCGTCCTACATCTCCTGCGTCAAAAATTACCTTCGTGCCAACCAGGTTTCCGAAGATGGATTGAAGGCCACGACACTCCTCTGCATGTGTGGCCCCACCATCTTCGACATTGCAGAGAACCTGGTCGCCCTGGTGCCACTCGAGTCAGTCACCTACGCGGACTTGAAAAAAAAGCTCCGAGACCACTTCGAGCCGAAGTTATCCATTATAGCGTGGAGGCACACTTTTGAGCAGCGGGAGCAACAACCCGGTGAGTCTGCAACAGAATTCATTGCCGCTCTTCGTCAAGCATCCCGACTCTGCAATTTCACGGATTTGGAGGAGAGACTATGAGTCTGTTAGTCTGTGGACTCTGGAATCGAGAGCTCCAACAAAAACTGTTCGCTAAGGAGACTCTCTCACTACAAGAGGCCTTGAAGGAGGTCATGGTGGATGAAGCTGCTGGAGGGCTGTTAAAGCGCTGTGGCCCTCCAAAAGTGCACCAAGCACCGAAGCCATCCACAAGGACGCCAAGCGGATGGAAGACACCAACTCAGACTACGAAGTCAACCAGCTATGAAAGCACCTGGAGAAGGGACCGCAGCCAGCTGAGAAGGCAGTTCTGTTCCTTAGATGCATGGGCTGCGGAGGCCGCCATCAACGCGTGGATTGCTGATTCTGAACTGCAACGTGCTGGGCCTGTGGCAAACCAGGCCACATCGCCGCCATCTACCGAGGTCATCAGAGGGACTGCCCAAAAGAAGACGCATTCAGGAGAGGTACCGGGGCCCCGGGTCAACACCGAGTAGGGTTCTGCTCCAGCCGAAGAAGCGTATTACGCACTGGTGCCCATTGCCTCCTAAAGCAGAAGCTTAGACTACAGGTCAAGCTTCAGGGAGTTCCATGCAAGATGGAACTGGACACAGGCATGTCCATCATTTCACAAGGAACATTCAGGCACCTATGCCATCGTAGCAACAGATGGGCCAAGCTCCGGCCATCTAATCTACTACTCCCAGACTTCCAAAACTCCCGAGTGGCGGTCAAAGGCAAAGCCACACTTCTTGTGGAATTCAAGGGGTTCAAGGGGCCACTAGATGTCATAGTGGCGGAAGGCCAATGCACGAGCCTCATAGGGCTCAATTGGTTTGATGCATTGGGCATTCAAGTAACCGGCTTTCACCAAACACAAGCAGCAGATCTGTCTGTAGTCTGCCAAGAGTTTGTGGATGTTTTCAGTTCTAGTCTAGGGGAGTACAAGGGTCCTCTGATTGCCCTCAAGCTTGATCCTATGGTAACTCCAATACGGATCGAGCCTCGTAGAGTGCCTTTCGCGTTAAAACCCAAAATCCATGCAGAGCTGAATAAGCTAGTGGAACAAGGGGTATTGCAGCCCGTAGACAGTGGGGTGTGAGAGACCCCCCATAGTAACGCCATTAAAGGTCAATGGGGAAGTGCAAATATGCGCTGACTATAAGTGCACCCTCAACAGGGCTCTTCAACAACACGCAAACCCTTTGCCAGTTGTCAGCCATATTTTGGCATCATTGCAAGGAGGCTGCGTGTTCACCAAATTAGATTTGGCACAGGCCTATCAACAACTGCCTGTGGACAAGGCCATGACGGTAGCCCAGACCATTGTTATCCATAGGGGAGCTTTTAAAGTTAAGCACCTACAGTTTGGGGTGAGTGTAGCCCCAGGGCTGTTCCAGGGAGTGATGGAGCACACGCTCAAGGGAATTCCAGGGGTTTGCCCCTACTTCAATGATGTCCTCATTGCTGGGGAATCGGTTGAGATTCTGGCTGAACAGCTTAAGGCCATCCTTCAGCGGTTCCGCGATGCAGGACTTAAACTAAAAAAAAGAAAAGTGCAAGATTGGGATAGAGTCAACCGAGTTCCTTGGTTTCCGCATCGATGCCGAAAGTATTCATCCGGTGGAATCCAAATTAAAAGCAATCCAGCAGGTCCCAAGGCCGAAGTCAAAAGGAGAGCTTCAGGCTTTCTTAGGCCTTTTGAATTTTTACCATGCCTTCCTCCCAAATAAGGCCACAGTGGCAGAGCCATTACACCAGCTCTTGGATAGACAAGCTCAGTGGCAGTGGACCAGTGTCCATGAGAGTAGCTTCCAAGCAGTCAAATCACTGCTGTCGTCGAACTCAGTTCTCACTCATTTCAATGAGCAGCTGCCTGTCTGCATTGCGTGTGATACATCCCCGTATGGGGTTGGGGCTGTGTTAAGTCACTTAATGGCTGATGGGAGGCATAAGCCCATCGCGTATTACTCCAGGACCCTATTGTTCACAGAGTGCAACTACTCGCAAATTGACAAGGAGGCTCTGGCCATTGTGGCCGGAGTTAAAAAGTTCCATGACTACTTGTATGGCCGCCAGTTCATGGTCTTCACGGACCAAAAGCCACTCCTAAGGTTGTTCACCACAAACTAAACAGACACCTCAGATTCTATCTCCTCGAATGCTGAGGTAGTCTATCTTCCTGTCAGCCTACAGCTACAGGATGATTCACAAACCAGGCAAGGAAACGGGCCATGCAGACGGCCTGAGCAGGTTGCCCCTGCCACATATGGAGCCAGATCCAGCTATCCAGGATTTGCCGGAATCTCCCCTTCACGCTGGGGACATAGCTGCTAAGACAGCAGTTGACAAAATGCTGAGTCATGTGCTAAACTTGGTACACACAGGATGGCTGGACAAATGTCCAGGGCCAGAATTTCAGAGTTTCTTCATGAGAAAAGATGAGCTTTCAGCTCATCCTTTGGGGAAGTAGGGTCATAGTCCCGAGCTCTTTAAGGCCCAGAGTCCTAGAGTCTCTGCATGAGGGTCATCCAGGAATAGTCTGGTTGAAGGAACTTGCGAAGAGCTACCTTTGGTGGCCAGGGCTAGATAAAGCCACCGAGGCCCAAGTACATGGTTGCTATATGTGCCAGTAATCCAGACCGGAGATGCCGCAAGCCCCTGTCCACTGATGGGAGGACACTCACACACCGTGGTCAAGAATCCACATCAATTTTGCCAGGCCCTTTCTAATAGTGGTAGATAGCCATTCTAAATGGTTAGAGGTCACACCAGTCCCTACTTGACTACTGCCAGGACCATCCAAGAACTGCACAGAATCTTTGCAACACGCAGACTTCCAGATGTGTTAGTCTCAGACAATGGGGCTCAATTTACTGCTTCTGAATTCCAGTCTTTCCTCAGGGCAAATCTAATATGGCACGCCATGTCAGCTCCCTTTCACCCGGCCTCGAACGCATGGTCCGCACAACCAAGGAATCACTAAAATGGATTGGCACAGGGGATTGGCACCACAGACTGGCAGATTTTCTACTCTGCCAATGCACAACTCCCTGTACCGCCATGGGCAGAAGCCCTGCCGAACTCAGATGGGGCCAATGTTTGATCACCAAGCTGGACAGGCTGCACCCCGACCAGGTTGCCTCAGACTCTGCTCAGCCAAAGGCACCTCGGAATTTGCAAGTGGGTGACTGGGTTTGGACCTGGAATTATGGGCAAGGGGCTTTGTGGGTGGCAGCCATGGTTGTTAAGGTGTCAGGACCACTCTCTTATGAGGTGGTCCTGGAAGATGGGCGAGTCATTCGCTGGCACATTGACCAGCTGCATCAGAGGCTAGCGAACCAATCGCTGGCTCAGGACTCTCAAGAGGGCCGCACGCAAGAGCCGTGCAACAGCGGCCCAAGAGAAGAGCTTGCATGCTCCAACAGAACTTTTAATCAAGGAGACGGGAAAAGGCCGTAGGAGAGCTTCCCCCGGACAGACAGACAGTATCTGCTGAACAGGACCGGCAAACTGAGCTGAGGGACAGCCCTGCAGACTTTGCTGCACAATTGGACTTCGGTTTGGGCCGATTGGGACTGGCTGGCCCAAGGGACCTGAGTCAACCTGACTTCACTGGACCTCAGAGTCCTGGTCTACCCAGCCAAGCAGGCGAGCGGGTAGATCAGGAGACCCCTGCAACCCCTAGACGTTCAGAATGGTCAAGAAGGCCGCCTAAATATCTGCAGCAATGTCCAGCAATTGAGAGTTTGTCCAGCAATTGAGAGTTTGAGCCATCTAGGGGGAAGGAGTGTAATGTATTGGTCACAACTGTTTTAAATCACTTGCTTAATGTCTGACCTACATTGCTGTATTGTTTAACAGTTACTGTTACTGAAAGCCAGACTGTCTGTCTCCAAGCTGATAATGAGGTTTGGGGCGGAAACTGTTACTTTAAACCTATGGGTTGCCACCTAGAGGCTAACTGTATAAATAGTTGTGCAGCAGCCTTTAGGGCTGCTTCTGTTCTGAATTAATAAACTTGTTTGCTGTTTCAACACTCTGCCTCATTCAATGCCTAAAGAACCGAAGATATAACATGCCCCTTTGGCATTGGTAAGTTAATCCTATTATGTCCTGTCTTAGAATTTGGGGTATATAGATTTTAAGGGTCTTTGTCTTCCTAATCTCTTCAGCTTCTAGCTGGAAGGCTCCAATCTTCCTGAATGGATTATTACATCTGCATTTCTGAAACTGGTTTCTGCTGAGTTGTCTGGCTATGGGGGGGGAGAGAGAAGTTTCTGCCTTTTTAAAGATCTTCTCCATTATTCCTTTGGGAGAGTATATTCTGACTTTTTAGCATTCCCCAAAATATTTCTTTCACTGGATTCTTCCCACAGAGGCAAAGAGAAAATCTGCAACCACCATTATCCAAAGCACAAATATGCTGGCAGTTGAAACCAAAATTCATGAAAAGTTCAACCTTAAAGACCCCCTTATATTCACAAATATTAAAATCATTGTCCAAATGTTTATTGTCACATAGTCAAAGAAGCATTGACCACAAACAAATTGGTATCAGCATAACTGTGAGAACAAAAACTTTCAAAAGTACCTATGTACTTTAGGGGGAAAAATGATAAAGGGAAAATAAATCATCATAGATCAGTGGTTCTCAACCTGTGGGTCGGGACCCCATTTGGGGTCGATCGACCATTTCATGGGGGTCGCCAAGCAAGGCTGTCCGCCATTTTTTTTGTCCGCCATTTTTTTGTCCTCCATTTTTTTCCCCTTTTCCGGCGGGTGCCTTACCTCCCTTGGGCTGGGCCAGCTGGTGGTCGGCCTGCTCCGTCTCTGCCGCTTGCCAGCTACACCTCGGCCGGCGCAGGGGGCGGAACCACGCATATGCGGTGCTCCCAGGCAGGGAAAGTCCTCGACTTACGACCGGTTGGGTAGTCCTCAACTTACAACCGGTTTAGTCCTCGACTTACGACTGGTTTAGTCCTCGACTTACGACCGGTTTAGTCCTCGACTTACGACCGGTTGGGGTCACGGCATTAAAAAGGTTGAGAACCACTGTCATAGATATTTCTGATCCCATTCATGAGCCACAAAGTGCTATCTGATTGTAGGGGGAAATCCTGAAAGGAAGTTAGAATGCATTGTTAGAGAAATGAGTATGTCTGAATCCCAAAATAGGAGCATTCCCCAATGCAATATCTCAGTGGTGGCGAACCTATGGCACGGGTGCCAGAGGCGGCACTCAGAGCCCTCTCTGTGGGCACGCGTGCTGTCGCCCCAGTCCTAGGCCTTCAGCTGGGTTTTATAAAACCTTTTTGCTTTAGGCCTCCACCGCTGTGTGCAAAAAAAAAAAAAAAAGGTTCAATCAGTCAATTTCAACTTCTCGCGGGAAAAAAAAGATCTTGCAAAGTTGAAATTGATTGATTGAACTTTTTAGTCCCACCTAGTCTGCTGTTACCACCGCAGCCATGCCCACCCAATGGGCCACGCCCACCCAATGGCCACACCCACCCGGCACTTGATGATGCATAAGTGGGTTTTGGGTTGCAGTTTGGGCACTCAGTCTCTAAAAGGTTCGCCATCACTTCAATATCTTATTTCATGATTGAACTGAAAAATTAAAGGCTATTTTATCAAGCTGCAAATAGACAACTACTCGATAGAGGAAAGGGAATCAATGTCTGCCATCTAGTGGGTCTTCTTGCTATCTGCAGCCTGGATACAAAGGCCCTAGAAAAGGCTTGATTGTATATATACATAAGTAGGAGCAAGTCCCATTGAATACAATTGTAAAAATACTTTTTAAGAGCTCAACTCACAATATTCATATGGGATTCAGGATTCATTTTTCTGTTGATTTCTATTTCTTCTGACCTCCCATTTTCATATACATGAATCATAAGCAGCAATAGCCATATCCTGGAGCACCTGAAAACAGTTAAATATTTTAGGGAAGAGATCCAGTTCAATTTGGAAATTGCATACCTGGATTCAAAGAATTGTATTCCATTGTAAGCACTGTTGCAAAAAACAGAGGGGGGTATTTTGGTGTATTTAAAAGTAAACTAGTCAATATATCATATGGAGGGAGATGAAATCTTTTTTAAAAAAAGTTCATAACATTGCTGAATACCTGGCAGAATTCCTCTTTATTGAATTTAATAATTCAGTCATTACTGAATTCAGCTTATTCATTACAAGCTGACGTTTTATATATTCAGAAACTCTTTAGCTGATGTACAATTACAGTGTAATCAGGAGCCAAAACCATAATATAAATCAATACATATTTAGTGAAACCACACATACACACAAAAAATCCCTCTCACACCCTCTCACACCCTCTCACACCCTCTCACTTGGCAATGTAAGGCCTTTCCAAAAACAATATGTAATATGATATATTTCTGTATTATATTAGCATGAAAATATATTTATTCAGCAAAAAGCTAAAATAATAGCCTTCCAGCACTAAAGATGAAAGAATTCTGCAAATCTTTATCTCTTTTCCCATTATCTTTTCTAGGATAACAGGAGAGAGAAGGGCAAGAAGAGAAGGAGGAGAAAATTCAAGAATTATATCCACTTCTTCAAATTAATAGTTAAAATTTCTCAAAATTCCTCAGAATTTTTCATCATCAAACTTATCATATTCAATATTTAGGAAAACATTGATGCAAATATTACCAACTTTCTATGTAGAGTATAATGAAAACATCAAAAATTTAAATGTGAAAAGTCAGTGGGGAAAGGAGATTACTATTTTTTAAGAGCTATGAGATTTGAATAAAATCACCTCAATCAACTTCCTTTAGCAGAACATGTCAGAAAGTAGATAGTCTAATTATTCTGAATTTTAGGAGATTTTGGATTGGATATTATCAATGTAACCTTTTCATTAAAACGAATCAGAACTTACCTCAACAGTCTTTCAAATTGTTCCATTGTTCCCCTTTTCGACATCAAACAATAATATTTCTCTGTTGCTATATAAAAATTATTTGAAGACAAGTTTTGATGTGCCTTCTTGTTAACCAAGTCTAAAAAATAATGAGTTTGCAACCTTTATATATGCTAAATGTCACGTATTGGATTCAGTCCCGCCTTTTTAATATGTGCCATATTATAGGTTGGTTTAATTATAAACCATCATCTATAATATTAATATATGTTCTTCATTCTGACAGGTTTTAGAGAAGCAATACATAGTTTGGATTTGGTCTTAAAAGAAGTTTTCATTGCAATTATCTTTAATGTGATGCCTTACAGTGAGAGAAAAATGTAGACGTCTACATATTTAAAGGAGTATCTGCTTCTCATAGGATTTTCCATCTATACTTGCAGCAGAACTACCTCGGACAAAAATTGGAATATAGGAACAAAAAATGTGGATATAGTGCATTATCAGATGATACAAATGCTATTGTGTTTATATTCAGACAGCTGTTATTGCATCTTCTGTCATATCAGATGTGCAATATTTATACATTCACATCGGGGTGGTGATTTTTAATCATACATGGAAAAAATTATCTCTGAATTACTTCCTAATTTCTTTTCCATCTTTGTGCAAGTGTGTTTGATGAGAAGTAGATGGATTTCCTTTCATCATATTTGTGATTTTTCACCTGAAGGCTAGATTTGGACATTTCTGTACAGTACGATAAAGGAAAATCTCAAGAAAGGAACTTGAGAATAAAATGAGATGTATGATCAATAATTGGAGAACAGTTTTGATTAATTAAAAATGAATATAAATAAAAAACATGCCTAATTAGATTTATGAAATGAATACTATAATATTCTATAGATAGGCAGAGAACGATCTCAAAAGATGGAAACTTATTTGTAAATATGTTTCTCAAGGTGAGGAAATATAGTATTGTGCACTACTTTTCTCTGGCCTCTGTGTTTCTGTGGATAAAACTCTTAGGCTTTAGTCGTACGTAAAGCAAGGCCAGACATGCTTCAAGCCCAACAACAGGAGAAAGAAGAATGGAGGATATGAGTATGTAAAGTTGACATCAGAGAAAGATTTTGATTAATTAAAATGAATATAAATAAAAAGGGATGCCTAATTAGAATTCATGAAATGAATACTATGATATTGTCTATATCAGATAGGTGGAGAACTTTCTCAAAAGATGAAATCTTAGCATAGCCTGTGTAACAGTGGGAATTATGTGGTTTTCCCACTGTCATGTCTAAGAACAAGAAGTCAGCGTTTCTGATAGTTTAAAGGATATAGAATTCCATCTTGTGCTCTGTGTCATTTCTATTCAACATGTTCCTTAATATAAATTGTAATTTTCCATTGCTGAGTCTTATTTAATTCCTTACTTTCACTTTAATCTCATCTCATTAAATGTCTAGTGCCCACAATTTAATGTAGCAAAACAGCCTGTTTATGCTGTTCTCAGCAAACTAGGATCTCTAGAAGCATATGTGGGAAGAGCTATCTGCCATCTGGCCCACATATATTTCCCCAAGAGGCGTTATACTCAGGATATGTTATCTCTTGACAGCAGCACTTGTTAGGCATAGAATACCAAACTGATACTGGCAATAGCCTCCAGCTGCTCATAGTTGACAATATGAAATACACAATGGCACCAGCTGCATATCTCCTAAAATTAGATGTCCTAGAAAAGAGGAAAAGCTTACAGCAGGGGTCTTCAAACTTGGCAACTTTAAGACTTGTGGACTTCAACTCCCATAATTCCTCAGCCAGCCAGGACTGGCTGAGGAATTCTAAGAGTTGAAGTCCACAAGTCTTAAAGTTGCCAAGTTTGAAGACCCCTGGCTTACAGCCTAGCCTGATGCAGTGCTTTCCCTTGGTGACCATTGGAAGGTACATTCAATTAGGTACCATATGGCTATTATGAGTATGGGCCTATAAATCAGGATAGATAAAATCTTGTTTTTTAAAATTAATTTTTATTTTATTCAGAAAGTTAAGGTAAATACAAACTCCAAAAAAAGAAAAAGAACTTTTACAAAGACAAAACAAAAATAGACAAAATATTTTAAAAAGAAAAAACATATTTAAAAAAAACAAAAGACAAAAACAAATATACCAAGAATGTCCAGTCAAAACTGTTTTTCAGTTAGATATAGTAGGTCCATTCCCCAATCACCTTCAATCTTCTTTTTTAAAAAAGTCCAGTTCATCCTTCATCAATTCTGTTAACTCCAAATCTGTAGAAACCATGTCTCTTTCAGCCTTCTCCAACAAGCCTGCAGTTTTCAAATGAAGTTCCTTCTCCTTTAAATCTGCTAGCAGCAATTTAGATTCTGATCCATCTATTTGTGACTCTGGTTTGGCTGCAGTTGTGTCTGGATATCCTCTTTGAGTTATTTTATTGAACTTTTTACCAAAGTTTTCAATTGTACTTGTAAATTAAAAAGGATTAAAAAAAAAAAAAAAAGCTTCCTAAAAGGTTTTTGTTGTGTCCTGAGCCTGCAAGAGGCAGGCTCGGGACGTTGCAAGAGTCCCGGGCATTTGCAGAAGCTGCCCGGGACCAGACTGAGCAGCGCCAGCCTTGTGCGCATGCGCAAGGCGGGAAAAGCCCGCCTCATGATTGGTTGAACTTGCCCGGGGATCAGAGGGTATAAATAGAGGCCTGCATGCCTCTGCTCTGGTTGTTCGTAGAATGGAGCAAACAATAAAGACTTGTTGGAGATGCTTCGTCTCAAGTGCCATTATTCTCCGGACTTAACACTGGCGACGAAGGTGGGATTCAGTCTCTACAGCAGTGGTTCTCAACCTTTTAATGCCGCGACCCCAACCGGTCATAAGTCGAGGACTAAAGCGGTCGTAAGTCGAGAACTAAACCGGTTGTAAGTGGAGGACTACCCAACCGGTCGTAAGTCGAGGACTTTCCCTGCCCAGGAGCGCCACGCATGTGTGGTTCCGCCCCCTGCGCCGGCCGAGGCGTAGCTGGCAAGCGGCAGAGACGGAGCAGGCTGACCATCAGCTGGCCCAGCCCAAGGGAGGTAAGGCACCCGCCGGAAAAGAAGAAAAAAAATGGCGGACAAAAAAAATGGCGGACAAAAAAAATGGCGGACAGCCTTGCTTGGCGACCCCCGTGAAATGGTCGATCGACCCCAAATGGGGTCCCGACCCACAGGTTGAGAACCACTGCTCTACAGCTAAGAAAAGCTAGAAGACTCACCCAAAGAAGTCCGGAAGAGAAACGGCGTGGAAGTCAGCGTTANTGGTTCCTTCTCAGTCTCCTCTAGGGGGGGAGGAGGAATGGGAAATGCATTCTGGGATTCAAAATCAACAGCCTACGTTGGCTGTGGGAAGGGAAACGGGTACTCAACACCCAACTTCCACAGGTGCTTCAGGTAGCAGTTCTTGGGAAAGGGAGTACATAGACACCCACACACACACTCCAGCCTGGGAGTCCCACCGATGGCAGACTAATTATCCACCCCATCAAGCAATACTCCAGACACGGAGAATACCTGGGAGCATACTCACAACTCACAACATGCAAGAGAGCAGGCAATACAAAAGGGGAACACGTCCCTTGCTGAAAGGGCTCAGAGGAGGATGTCCTCATGCTTCAGGGCTAACAGGGAGGCATCCCTAGTCCCTAGCACTACAGAAACGAGCCAGGAAACGCGTACTCCCTCAGAAAACACGGGAATGAACTCAGAGGGGTTAGACAACTCCATAGAGGGTAGGTCAACCAGGTTTAGCGACCAACAGGGCCCTGACTGCTCAAATACAGGAGACGGGCTGGAAAGTCAAGCTGAAGTCACTGGTCATTCACAGGGCACTTCACCTAGTGCAAGCAGTAATGGGGATAACAATACAAACTCTCCAGGTCTGAGAAGG